ATCAGAAGCCACATTTTGGTTTTGGCTACTGACTGTCAAAATGTCTTTTATGTTCCTGATTCTCAGGAATTAGTTGGAGTTCTTTTATTCTGTAAAATCAAATCTCTAACTTTGAACAGCAGAAAAAGTTCTTAATTTTTACAGCAAAGAACAAGCTGTCAGACAATCCCCACAGAGATGAAAGGGAAGGATCTGAATTGAGGCTCTACTGTTTATCTGCGACAAAGCATAAATAAGAAGGTGTTTTTGTCCAGGGAAAAGATGAGTCTTACTGTTAAATTGTGAGTTGCTTAGCCACGTAGATTAACTACAGTGCTCCTGAATACTGGGTAAATAAATTAGATAAATTAATCTCTGTATTTTGTTATCATATGATACATATGCACATATATTTGGGTAGCAGTAATTATCTGGCAGTTCACTACTTTACTGTCTTACTGTTTAAGCACTTGTTTGATGTATAAGGAATGTCAGAGTTGAGCTGCATAATCTGGAAGGTAAAAAGGGAGTATGACAACATACAGCTGCTTCCATAACTGCACTCCTTTCACAGTTGGCATTTCCACAACATCAGGAGTCTCCTATTTCAAGCTACTCCTCTTGGTGTAACCTAAGATACCTCGTTAGCCCAGCAGGGCAGACAGCAGTCTCCAACAGCAGCTTGATGCACTGTGTGCGTGCCAGGGGATACAGCCGGGTCCAGCTGTCCTCAGTCGCTACAGTCATCAGCAGTAACTCAAGAACCACTCAGATGGAAACAAGGCATTTGCAGCATTAGGCAAGATCATGGTCTACACAAATTACTAGTGGAAAGTCATGGCAAATCCAAGCAGAGCCACTAAATAGGAGAAACAGAGCACTTCTGTGGAGACCTCACCCCAGTCTTCTACCCTTGGTTGGTAAACCAAGCCCTGTTGGTAAACTAGGGGCTGTCCTCAGTGACAGGACCCGAGGGAATGGCCTGAAATTGTGTCAGAGGAGGTCTAGGTTGGATATTAGAGATTCGTCATCCAGAAGGTGGTTGGGTTCTCCAGGGAAGTGGTCACAGCACCAAGCCTGACAGCGTTCAAGAAAGTGTTTGGACGATACTCTCGGGCACGTGGTGTGGCTCTCGGGGATGATCCTGTGCAGGGCTAAGAGTTGGACTCAATGATCCTTGTGGGTCCCTTCCAACTCAGCATATTCTGTGATTCTGTGAACGATGTCCTCAGTGGAATATTGCCAAACAGCTGAGCTGCTGAGCCTCTACACAAGTGTCCTGCACTTAACACTCTTATTGGGCCTCTTTGTGCCATTCCTGCTGGTGCTACCAGGCCCAGACATTTCCATTCATCCATTCCCTATTTACACCAGTCTTAACATTTCCATTACAGTTCTCTGCATTGAAGTACCCCTGCAAAAGCTGTGCTTACCAGTAGCCCCGTGGGAAGACTCAGCCATTGCTCTCCCTGCCAGAATATAACACAAATGTAGTATCCTTTCCAGTTTCTACTTCAACAGAAGTTATAGAAATTGGTAGTAAATTTATGGTAGCTTTGCAGTAATTCATTTCACCCAGGGCTCTTTTCTCTGACACCGAGGGCCTTCCCCTTCACAGCCAATTGAATGTCAAGGCAGTTGTTCAAGTTCTGAATCTTCTGTAATGGCTGTAATATGATTCACAGTGTTTAACAATAACTGCTGCTTGCCTTCTGTCAGTTCCCCACTTCCAGCCTAGAGGTTTTAGAGGATTCCTTTTGGCATGTGTCAGCAATTAGATGAAGATACTCCTTCTGCTCACCACAGCTCTATTCTTTTTCTCAGTGCGACTCAGGAACAACATTAAGCAGTCTTGAAGTGTTTGCATGTATCTGCATGGCTCAGGAAAAGAAAGAGGAGAAATTCCTCTTCTTCCAAGCAGTTGCATAAGCAGCACTTCAGGATGATGGGCAGGCAAAATATTCACTGTGAATACATCATGTTTCTTCAGGCAGATTGTTTTTAATTTCTACAGATCCTTACTTTTCTATTTCTGATATATTCTGATTCATTGTAGTCACCTTGCAGTTTGTGTCTAGAAGCTCATCTGTCAGAAAAGGAGCTGATTGAAATAACATGTTGCTTACTTGGCTGGATTTCTTTTCATTTGGAGGGTGGGGGACAAGTAAGGAAGAAAGATTTTCTTGATTTTCATATCAGCAGAGACGAATAAGGAGCTATGTACCAGCTGCACATGTGGGATAGTGTTATTAAGGTATCACACTTCATTACATGTATAAGAACTCTTAGTGTAACACAAACTTGAGACATTTGCATCATCTTGTTCACTGCTTTAACAGCTTTTCTTTTTCAGGTACATTTTAGATAATCCCCGCGTCGTTAAGGGACGATCGGTTTTGGATCTTGGAAGTGGATGTGGAGCAACAGCAATAGCTGCTGTGATGAGTGGGGCATCCCAAGTCCTCGCTAATGACATCGACCCTAGTAAGGGCTTTTTTCTTTTCATCTCTGAGTAAAGATACTTATTAATTTTTAAAGCACCTTTAACAAGGACTTTTCTTTACTCCATTTGGGAGAAATTCAAGTTCCAAACAGAGTTCTAAGAATGCTAAAAAGAGGAATGGATTTTGCCAGTATTAGAAGCTGGGTTGTACCAGCCTCTCTTGGATCAGTGTATCTCTCTAACACCTCAGAATGAACAAACAGCAAAGTTTCTGTCAAGTGTTGCCTGTACACCATCATGGCTGCTTTGGAAGAGAACTCCAAGTGCAAACAGCAAGTTGGCTTCTCTATAGGACTGTAGCATTTTCCTGTACTTTGATGTTAGGACCTAGATTTTGCCTTTTCCCTCCAGACTTTTCCATAATTCACTTATGAATTCAGTTTATTCATAATGTACTTACTCATTGTTTAGGGAAGAAGTATATCCATAGATTAAGGCAGTAAGATATCCTAATTCAGTTCCATGATTTTTTTCCACTGGTATCCATTCCAGGAATAGTTCTTCCCTGTGTCATGGTGTGATGGGAATAAAATTTCATCACTCTATGCCAGATTTTAACCCATCACAAAAACTGTGGAAGTCCCTAGATAGGATAAACAAAAATATTTAAGAGATGAAATTGAAACCTATCAAGGAAATTTGTAAGGAGGCCGAGTGGCAGAATCCTAAAATGTAACTTTCATTTTGCTTTGACTTTTCTTCAGTTGCAGGAGTGGCAATGATCCTGAACTGTGAACTGAACCACCTGAATCCCTTCCCCATCACCATTAAGAATATCATTAATTCAGAGGCTGGCAACTGGGACCTCATTGTTTTAGGAGATATGTTTTATGATGAACAACTTGCTGATGGTCTGCATCACTGGCTGAGGAAGTGCATCAGGATACAGCAAACTGAAGTGCTGATTGGTGACCCTGGCAGGCATCAGTTTTTAAGCCACAGCATTCAGAGTCATTTGCACAAAGTTATAGAATATTCACTTCCCGAGTACACTAGACAAGAAAACCATGGATTAACATCAAGTATTGTCTGGAGTTATCAGCCCTCAAACGGCTCAGCAGACTGTTGAAGTTGGCTTTGTAAGGAATTTTGTCTTGCTTGGTTGGCTTTTTAGTGAGTACGTAAAAAGAAAATGGGAATTAAACACAGTACATTATTTGTTGATGTAAAGCAGATTCCTGTACCTTCACTGAACTGATTTGTCATACTCACTGAGGCTTTTGCTCCATTTGAGGTAAAAGCTACATGCAAACTGTATTCAGAGGGGCCTGCACTGAAGTGCAGACCCACAGATGAATCACACATAAGAGTTTGCATGCTTGATGTTTTTCATGTATATTTGTGTCTTGCTCTCTAACAGTACTGTGAAATGTTTTGGATGTCCAGTACACTGCTGTGGGGAGAGGGCCATGGCTGACAGACTACTGCATTGCTTTCACAGACTTTTGCAGCTTATTTATAGAGAAATTGTCAGTGTCCTTCATAAAATTCTAAATCATAAGAGATTAATAGCTCTTAATATGCTCAACTTAAAGTGCCTTGCTCCTTTTCTGGATATCTCTTCTGAATGTCAGAGTAACTAATTTAAATCTCCCTTTTTCCCTCTATAATAAAAGCTTACTCTTCCTTCAAACTGCCTGAGTGATTATGTAGGAGTTGCACACAAACCTAAAATAGCTTCTTGACTGGTAGCCAGTGTAGAAGTTTTTAGTAAGTGGAAAGCACCTAAATAGTACTAGCTATGGGGTAACTTGATCATCTAGAGAGTAGGGTGAAATTACCTACATATCTGAACTTTGCAAGGGTAAACCAGGCAAACTATCACCTTGGGAAGCTGCTGAGGGATGAAGAGATCTTTCCTTGTGTGACAAACAGAATATAACTAAATAAAAACAGGGAATAAAAGTTTGATATAATTATTTTGCTCTTCTCTTGAGGAGATGCTGGACAACAAGCTCTAGAATTATTCTCAGTTACATCTGCCAAGAAAGAACTTGGTCTGCAGGGTCAAAAAAATATTGTTCCACAGGTAAGAGGCTGTAACTGCAGCCATTTGAAGATATCACCACTGTTTTCAGAGCAGTCTTGCAAGAACTGTCCCCTTTAGCAGTCAATTACTGAATAACCAGTAATAACCAGGGGAACTAATACCTGCACAACCAACACAATGCACCTACAACTATTCAAATACCAGGTTATATGGTAGAAGCTTATAAGTGTGAACAAGTATGTGGTAATCACTCAGAAAACCATGGTATTTATGAAGCAGGAGGCTTAAGAGCACAGTCAAATGTACATGGTTATGTAATTTAACAAGTTTCCAGAACTACCCAAACAGATGTCTTACAAACTTTAATCACCTGAACAATATGTGAATATTCTGCAGTGCTCACCCAACATTTTGCAACAGTAACAATATCCAAACAATACAGAAATAGGAAGTGGTAAGCACATACATGATGTTCTTCTCCCACTTCACCCAGTGCTTGCCAACATTTGTTGAAAATTACTGTGATTTAACCTGAATCAAAAAATACTCCAGTAGAGTTATGCAAGTAGGAAACATGTAAAAGTTCTACTGGGGAAGGATTTAAAGTGACTTACATTAAACTTTCAAACCTAAAAATGTGGTGTTAACTCGTTGCCCTTTTGTACAGATTTTTTAAGCACTAAGTTACACATTTAGAAGAGGCTGTAGGGGAAGATGGTAAATCTACACATGCATTTAAGGACACACTATAGGCTGCATTTACCTTCGACATGACAACATGACAAATCCAAGGTTACATTAGCAAGGGGGAAAAGGACAACTTTGCCAGTGAGGTAGGCAGTAGTATTGTCCCACAGACAATTTTTTTAAGTGTCCTGTGCTATTACAGAGTTTGGTGGTCTTCTACCTCTCGCTACTGTACATAAGCTTAATTTGTAACTTTCTTTCTGGATGTAGCACTTGGGAGTCTGGTGGCCACCACTTTGTAATGTAACATGAATTGTTACATGACAGCAACAGAGTGAGGGAACTGGACTTGTTCAGCTTGGAAAAGACAGGGCTTCAAGGAATGTCTGAGCAGCCTGACCACACCTATGAGGAGGCCATCAGGATGACAGCCAGGCTCTACCAGCGAGAGGAAGGGTGCTGACACACAATAGGGTCAAACAGGACAGAAGGAAAAAAAAATTTCAGCATTAATACAGTCAAGCAGTGGAACAAGTTGCCTCAAAGGGTCGTGAAGGCTCTGTATCTTCAGTTTTTCAAGACTTGGCTGGAATAAGCGTGGACTAAGCTGGTTTGAGCTTTGAGCTGGCCCTACTTTGGGCAGGAAGTTATACTTGAAACCTCCCAAGGCTCCTCCCTTCTTCAGTTAATTTTCAATTCTACTTAGTCTTTTTGTGGCAACCTTCCTGAAACCAGGAATGCTTTACCATTGGACACAATTACTGAGCCTCTCATTGCTGCTGCCTAATCAGCTAGATGGATCAATATCAAAAATAGTGCAAAACAAATTTATTGCCAACTCATGCTCAAGAGTTCAAAGGAATGATGGGCCCTGCTTGATACCAGGGACTACACAGGGTATAAGAATAAACTTAGCCAAAAAAAAAGGAATAAAACTTGGTAGATTAGGTTATTAATCTATCCAGTGCAAGGATCTGCTGCAGTTACAGCTTTCAGATGTTTGTGGATAATGTAGCGAAATCAACTCCTGTTTGCAAGAATGGTTTGTGCTGGTGCAGCTGTACCTACAGGGATCACAGGAACACACTCATCACTGGGCTGAGCCATGGTACTCCATGCAACAAGAGTAAGGGATTTAGGCACTAGAGTTGGAAAATTATGCTTTTAGTTACACTTGAACAACTTTTCTAAATAGATTTACTCTTTCATGAACCATATAATCACAAGAACGAGATCCTTGTCAGACATCATAATATCCTTTAATATTGGCTGCAACATGTATCTTCCATGCAATTTGACTTGAACTTTGAATAGATTAGTAGAAGACTGGTTTATTTCTGCAACACTTAAAATAAGTGTGGCTATGACAGGAGTTAAATTGTAAAGTAAACATATTCATTATAGTTGCCTAAACTCATAAGTTTCCAAATGCCCTCAGATTCATCTAAGACCACCCTAGCTAAACCCTTCTACTTCCACATACAGAGTATCAACCCTAGTGTGCTCCATGCTCTGTACAATACTAAAATTGCTAGCATTTTAAGAAGTTTAATGCAGAAATCATAGAATTCTCATGAGAGATTATGCTGGTTCAAGAAAGCCAATGAACATGACTTGTAACTGTGATGAGACCACTGCTCCATCATGTAATAAACTCATTCTACAATTCAAAAATTTTTTTCTTTAATATGACTATAATTAAACAATACATTTATTGTTATTTTCAGCTTCTGGGGGGCCCTGGATATATAATGAACCGCATACAGCAGAACACATACTCTACTGAACTCCACCATCCTGAGATTTATATACTCAGACACAAAATTTGGTCCTATTTCACTCACAGCTATGCTTATGAGTACCAATGTTTTGTTCCCTAAAAGGATTTTCATGTAGAAACATAGGCAAAAGCCAGAACAAATTAAGTATTTGCCCATATACAAAACTCTTTTACTGGTCATAGCTACTACTCTGAAATTTGTAAAGTCACCATAACAATTCCAAAGCCAGTTTATGTTCACACATTTACAGACTGTAGCTTTGGATACATAAAAAGCCAGCAAGTATTTGATGGTAAGTAAAACCAGAAATCTGCAGCATCAGTAACATCAGAAGAAAGGTACCTACATTTTTCATTCCAGATCTAGCAGAAGTACATGGTGAAAGGAGATTGTTTGTTACTACTAAAAATACATTTGTATTGCTCTTAATGCCACCTCCATTCACCTGTTCTGTCTGATGACTTTTGTCAGATTTAACTGCCAACTTTACAGACACTTCTGTGTGAGTGTCAATGATGTGTTTAGGCTTGGTACTTTTAGTTGCAAGTACCTTCCCAGTCTACAAACTCAGAGTTACTTAAAGTGGGTCTGTACATGTAGCTAAGTTGCTAAAGGATGCCAAGGAGCAGCCAAGCCTGATACTTCAAGGAGGCTGAGCTATGGCTCAGTGTAGTGTTAATTACAGTTTAACTTTCCTCTTAATGAAGTATCATCAGCGATACAAAGAGAGACAGGGCTCCAAGCAGAGACAATGGGGAAGCCCAGACTCACAGGCAAGGACTGGAATAGCAACAGAGACCTCCAGTGGGAACCAGGAGGGACACAGTCTGGTGGTACAAAAGTCACCAGCTGGTTCTCCAAGGTGCTTGCTTGCTGAAAGGGCTCTCCCATCTGTAAACTTGACACTCATTTGTACAGGATAAATAATCAGTAAACAGTCCATGTGACTTGCTTGATTTTGTTTGATATGATGAGCTCCTCTAAAACATCTCGGGAACGATCTGCAAAAGAATGAAGGGCTTTCTTGTTATTGATTCAGAACATATACAGGTGGTGTTCAGAAATAAGCTACACAACACAGCAAAGTAATTCAATTATACACCTGCATTTATGCTTATTTTGCTCTTACAATATCACACTTCAGATACACCTGTAGTAATCCAAAACAACTTGGTTCTTTCTCCAATCACCTAACTATAAAGCATCACCAACCAACAGGACTTAAAAAACCCATGGGCTATCCTACTCCATTCCACTGTTTCTTGAATGGGTGCTGTTCCATGCTTTTGGAATAGAGTAGGGATTTAAGATGCTAACATTTTTCTGAAGTCTTTGGATCTTCATCAGCATGCTGAAGGCAGAAAAAGGGACATTAAAAAAAAATAAATCTAATTTTCAAAACAACAACAAAAAAATCCTTCTCTGAAGGTTGCATATTTCAAAGCAAAACTCTCATCCTGCTTTGAAAAATCTCAGCGCATGATTATTTTATCTACTAAGTTATTATTTGTTTGGGATTATTTACAACGTATAGTGTGCTCTTCCAGAGAGCAAGAAGGTACTATCAGCAAGAAATTACTCTTCTCACTCCCTGCATGATTTGACCTACCTGTTATCAGTGGGCATCCATGGAACAGAAAAATGTGTATCTTCGGACAACAGTTAAGGACGGCTTCCACGGCGACGTCTGTCAGGTTCACACAGCGCTCCATGTGGATCTCCTGGTATGAAAATAGCAGCAACAAAAGCCTGTCACAGCACCCATAGTTTTAGAGGCAGACCTTTCCTTTGCCCAAGCAGTTTGAGAGATTCCCCACTCACACTCCTCTGTGCACTGACCCTGTATGTGGTCTTACACGGACCGGGAAAATACCCTCAGGAAAAACAAAACAGCTTTTCTGTGAAGAGTCAAAACTGAAAACTTATATCGGAGTTTTCCCAATATGCACATATCATTCAAGACAACTGAGAAAACTCTTCAATGACATTCCATGGTGTTTGAGTCCCATCACTTTTCCTATGACACACGCTCTCCTAGCAGTTTGTTGTCGAGGACCCAAACTGAATTCTGGTGTTTTCCAAAACAGGCAGGATTCATGAGTCTCTGGTGAAGTTTTTAATATCTATCTACATGGTTCCTAAAAGAAGTCTAAAAGCTTCTTCAAGACTAGACTAAAACCTTTCTCTGGAGTTGTATAACTATTACCTCTTGTTTGTGCTAGAAAAAGAAAATCACAATAAATTTACAGATTATTACCAACCTTTTTTCCTCCTCTGAATTGCTTTATATATCACTAAATATAACATAAAAGAAGAAATGCAGAAAAGAAACTATCAATATGCAAATCTTGGTAAAACGTACTTTGGGAATTCAGGGGTAAAAATAAAAAAAAATAAATTGGAAAAAGACTTTCCAATAAAAAACTCTAAGGATCTTTAAAGAGCAGAGAAATGAAAG